GTTTATTTTTCTTGAAAACACATTTTGTGGTCATGGTTATTTTAAAGACGGTTTGATTATGTTAGATTTGAATTATAATAATGATGTTGCTTTTGTTTCAAATTCTTCTTCTAATGTTATAAATGATTTTGTGAAATGGCATGCTAGATTAGGACATAATGGGAAAAATAAAATGTCCAGATTGGCTTGAGAAAGGTTATTGGGCTTAATCACCAAAGTTAAACTTCCTACATGTGAGCTATGTCTTGTCGGTAAGTCCAGCAGAAGCCTTTTGGGAAGGCTAAAAAGGCCACCCATCTTCTAGAATTTGTTCATTCAGACATTTATGGGCCTATGAATGTAAAGGCATGTAACAGCGCATCCTATTTCATTACATTCATAGATGATTACTCACGATATGGATCCATATTCTATTGTCTCACCATTCTGAAGCTTTGAATTGGTTTAATGCTTTATGGTAGAGGTTGAGAATCAGAAAGAAAGGAAACTTAAGGTTTTTCGCACTGATAAAGGTCGCGAATATCTATCTGATTAGTTCAAAGAGTTATGTGAGGAAAAAGGAATACGTCAACAATTAACTACACCTAGAACTCCGCAATAAAATGGTGTTGCAGAGAAAATGAGTCGTACCTTGTTAGACATGGTTAGGTCAATGTTGGCATAAGCCAACCTTCCAATAAGTTTTTAAAAGGATGCCCTTTTGACCACAGCATACATCTTCAATCGTGTTCTCTCAAAATCTGTTCCTACAACTCCATACGAGTTATGGAATCAAAGTAAGCCCAACTTGGAAGGCTTACGTCCTTGAGGATCAGCCAGGTACGTACATCACTCATCTCATAAGTATAAGAAACTTGGTCCTAAAGCTATTAGGTGTGTATTTATTAGATATTTAGAACATTCTAAGGGCTACGTGATGTATGGAGAATAACTTTATGAAAGGCTAACTGAGATGGACTCTCGTGATATTGATTTTCTAGAAGATGACTTCTTAACCGTAGGTGAGGTTAAAGAAAACCTTGAGCTTTATGAGATGGAGGAGCCTCGAGAAAATGTATCCGAACATGAGGAAATGATTATGGAGACATCCTATCCAAGAGACTGTTGAGGTCAGTAGGAGTACATCGTTTGAGCTCCACCAAGTTTCATAGTTACGAATAAGTGAATGTGGGCAAA